GTGAAGTCTGGAAGTGTGATACCTCTTGCTTTGTTTCTTTTGCTAAGGATTGTTTTGGCTATTTGTGGTTGTTTATGTTTCCATATGAATTTCCGTATTGTCATTTCCATTTCTGAGAAGAATGATGTTGGTAACTTAATGGGTATTGCGTTGAATCTGTAGATTGCCTAGGATGGACATTTAAACAATGTTGATTCTTCCTATCCATGAGCATGGAATATTTTTCCATTTGTTTGTGTCTTTTTGGATTTCTTTGAGCAGTTTTTTGTAGTTTTCATTTTAAAAGTCTTTCACTTCTCTGGTTAGGAAGATGCCAAGGTGTTTCATTTTTTTGTGGCTATTGTAAATGAGATTGTGCTTTTTATGTGGGTCTCTACCTGCTTGTTGTTGGTGTATAGGAATGCAGCTGTCTTTTGCACATTTATTTTATAGCCTGATTCTTTGCCAAGGTCCTTTATTAATGCAAGCAGGTTTTTGACAGAATCTTTTGGATTTTCAAGGTATAGGATCATATCATCAGCTAAGAGGGATAACTTGACTTCCTCTTTTCCTATTTGGATACCCCTGATTTTCTTCTCTAATTGCCCAAGCTAGGACTTCCAAAACAATGTTGAACAAGAGGGGTGAGAATGGGCAGCCTTGTCTTGTTCAAGTTTTCAGGGGAATTGTTTTCAGTTTCTGTCCATTTAGCAATTTGTTAGCTGTGGGTTTATCGTAGATGGCACTTATACTATTTTGAGGTATGTTCCTTCTATACCTAGGTGTTTGAGGGTTATCAAGAAGGGATGCTGGATTTATAAAAAACTGTTTCTGCATCTAATGAGATAATCATGTAGTTCATGTTTTTACATCTGTTGATGTATTTAATTTCATTTATGATCTTGTGAACGTTGAATCAGCCCTGCATCCTGGGGATGAAGCCTACTTGGTCATGGTGGATGATTTTTGAGATGTGTTTTTGGGTCTGATTTGCTAGAATCTTGTTGAGGATTTTTGCATCTATGTTCATAAGGGATATTGGCCTGTAGTTCTCTTTTTTTTGTTGGATCTTTACCCAATTTGGGTATCAGCATGATGTTAGCTTCGTAAAATGAATTCCATCTTTCTAAATTGCCTGGACTACTGTCAATAGGATTGGTATCAGCTCCTCCTTGTACATTTTGTAGAATTCTGCTGGAAAGCCATCCGGTCCAGGACTTTTTTTTTTTGTAGGTAATTTTCGTATGACAGAGTCAACTTCCTGGGTTGATATTGGTCTATTTAATGTCTCAGTGTCTTTTTGTTTTAACCTGGGGAGGTTGTGTGATGTCCGAAAGTTCTCCATTTCATTTATTTATCTAGTTTGTTTCCATATAGGTGTACATAGTAATCTCTGATAATCTTTTGTATTTCTTCAGGGTCAGTTGTGATTTATCTTTTGTATTTCTAATTGTGTTTATTTGGGCTTTTTCTCTTTTTTTCTTGGTTATTCTGCCTATAGGTCCATCAATCTTGTTCATTCTTTCAAAGAACCACCTTTTTGTTTTGTTAATGTTTTCTATGATATTTTTGTCTTCTATGTCTCATATTTGGGCTCTTATTTTCGTGATTTGGATTCTTCTGCTAAAGTCGGATTTTGGTGGTCTTCTCTTTCCATCTCCCTTAGGTGATTTGTTAGGCTCTCCACTTGTGATCTTTCCATTTTCTTGATGCATGCTCATAGAGGTGTTAATTCCCCTCTTAGAACTGATTTCATAGCATC